TAACCGTGTGAGAGTGTTTAGAAAAATTATGGATCGTCAGTCTGGCAAACCACTTTTTAAGCTTGCGAAATTCAAAATTACTCGCATCACCGATCACACCTATGTTACTGACAAGGGAAAAGTTTATCGAAAAACCATGTCTGCCTTAAGCCTAACTTCAATAATACCTTTTCAGCAACACTAGGTGGTCGTCTTCAATCTTCTGGAACATCATCAAAAAGTGGGGGAAAGAAACTTGTTACTCGCGCATCTCATCCAACGATGCTTGAAAAACGGCCAGCTAATACGAGCGTGTCACTGCCGGCGGTGGTAGATCTTACTGTTGATTCGTCCAATGAGAGTCCTCCCGACCAACACGCTTCGCACGAAACTCGGCTATCTACTCCAAGGGAAAAACGAATACGGTTGAATGACGAGTCACCGCCTGTCACGTTTGGAAACTCATTCCTCACACCGGGTCAGTCTTCGATAGATACTAGTCTGCCTCTACCGCCCATCACTCAGCCTGTGGTCCCTACAACTCTGGTTCACAGCCCTACAACTTTGGCCACAAGTCCACATCAACTACCACTTGACGTCGTCGACCCCGAGGGTCCGGATCTTCCAGCTCGTCCAGTTATTCAAGCAAACCCATATTCGTCGCTTCCATCACTCTCTCTCCCAGCTCAACCGGCTACGGATGATTCAGAGGGAACTCGTACTTCATCTCGAAGCAAAAAGGCTCCGAAATTCTATGGCGACCCACTACGACACTCGGTTAAATGGGTAGAAGAAGAAAAGTCGCCGGAAAATGAAGCCGCCATATTGCCCAACCATCGTCGCAGTCACCTAAACGGCGACCTCTCATTCGGGAACGTTCGCATTTAACTCCTCCGGAGGCGCCATTCTCATCCTCGCTGGATAAAGCTCAGGACGAAAATTGATTGCAGCTAAAACTCATTGTCAAACTCTCAACAAAACTTCGTATCTATCTTTATCTTTGTCACCATGCATTTTTACGGGATAGGGGTGCTATCTAATATTAATGCTTAGGGGTGCAGTTTATTTATTTAACTTTTGAACAGTTTTTGGTTTCTCCAAAAATTTTTCCTTTCCGCGGGGAATGTGATGAGGCGACATTTAGTACCTCATTGTTATATCGCCTTTTGCCAATGAGGCGACCTTTAGTACCTCATTGTTATTGCCTTTTGCAGCTATGCTGCAGATATATTATACCAGTCCGCTCAAGGTCACTGGCTTGGCTTTTCTGAGTGACACACTGTGTGTGATTCACTCTTATGTTCTTTATCATCGCTTGTTAGATGTAAACTTTATTCAACACTTTTGTTAAACATATTTCTATTAGTCAGAGTCTGACTAACTAAATCTAAACAACCAAGAATCTAAACAACTAATCAACTAATTCACTATTACGAACAACCTAGTTTTGTCCTTTAAATCTCGGCAAATGTCACCCTGTTGTTTCACAAAAAGCAAAAAAACTTTTTTTCCTACCACTCTTAACCATGGGACTTATAAGGTAACTTTAGTATTTCTATCTCTGATCTTTTTACACTACAGAGTACATACCGTGCCTTAAAAAACAGCGTGGCTTACCAAAAAGTCTACAGTGTGTCTTAAAAATGGGGTCAGCTGCACACCCTCCAGCTCAACCTGAAAAATAACTATTCATTGACTCTGAACAACAAAAAAATTCCAGACAGTAAAGTGATAATTTTTAACATTGACGGCTCTTAGTTCATGCGACGAGCTGAGAATCAATAAATCTTTACCAAAATTTAAATTATATTTTTTGATTCTGAACAATTTTCGAGAAAAAGAACTGATTCAATTTTTTGGCCAGAGTTCATCAGGGGGATATAGCTGACAATTTCTTAACTTTTGAACAAATTTTTTGATTCTGAACATTTTTTTCTTGTTCGTGATCAAGGTCATAATCTATCAGATTTTGAGATTTGAAAATCATGTGTTTTGACCAGGGGCGGATTTAGGGAAGGGGCGGACGCTCCCCCTCAGGGATTCGACCCCCTGCCGACCCAAGGGTCCCTCCTTTGATACTTTTTAAGAAATTCTTTTCAAAACAGCGTCTTTTTAGTGCTTTAGGAGAGCTCGGAAAATCAATTTGGTCGACCTAAAAAAAAGGTCGTCACAGTTTTCGAAAATTTTTGAAAATCCGCCTTCCCCTCCAGAAAATCCTAGATCCGCCTCTGGTTTTGACTATGATGACACTAGCTTCGTTGAAGTCAAAAAAAAACAATATTCATTTTTAGACATAGTTTTTGTTTTCGCTGAAGTTTTATGTCTATCAACATGGCAAAAACGTTAAGCTAAACTTGACAGGTTCTAGGTTTTCAGTCTTTGATTGTTTGATTGTGCACATTTTCTCATGATTAAAAGAAAGATCAAAAATTTCTTAATTAAATAATAGCAATTAGATTTTTTTCCATTTATGATTCATAAGATGAGGTAATCCTCAGCAAATTTTCAAGTTTTCAAGCATAGGTTTTGATTATGTACCACCTTCTGGTTCAAAGCATGAAATAAATTGATGGTCTGTGGGATAATTGACTGACGTGTTACGATCTTGGCAACTCAATGTTCAAAGGACACAACGAACTTTTGGCGTATAATTTTCAGCTAATAAATTAAATTGGCATCACTATGGCGGTGTATCGACTAGCATAAAAATCCAAATAGAAAGTTTAAACAAGGCTGCTCGTATCAGGGCGAAGCCCTGAAAGTTACGACTACCTTTTAAGGTCTATGGAGCATTCATAAGATGAAAAATTTCAATGTAATAAGAAAAAAAAAATTTGAAAAAATTTGAGATTTTATTTAAAAACATCCCCCCACACGTCATATTAAGTACAAAGTGATAGATTTTGCGCCTATTAACAAATCAATTATGGCATATAAGCTTCCTTGAACCAATTGGAACGATTTTTAAGACGGATTAACTATCGCTCGCGCGTTAATAGCGCGAAACTTATCGCGCGTTAATTTCCCAAATTGGCCAAAATGGCAAACTTTAAACCCCGATAACTTTACAAAAAATGATCACAGGTAAAATATCTTTTCAAATTCAAGCTCAGGAAAACAATAGCTTTCGAATAATATAAAAAAATTCCATCAAAAACGGCTAGTTAAAAAGTCGAAATTTGTCTGAAGAAAAAAAAACCCACCCCGAGCACAAATATTCCGTTACTTTCGTATCGAAAGTCTGAACAACAAGCCCCTTGCTCTCGCAAGTGAAACAAATACCGGCAAAAATTTATTTAAACCATGAAAAACTTCATTTTATCAAAATTTTAATTTTTGGACAATGTGTATACACTTAACTCTTAACAAAAAAAAACACATTTCAACCCTTTTTATACCACATTTAGTTAGCATATGATTTTTCGTTAATATTTTATTTGTTTTTATTCTGAATTCGATCTGTCAAAATTTGAGAAAATTTTTCCGAGTGACTAGACACATTGCCAAATCATTCGTCCAGCTGTTTTAGAAAGCATGCAATACCTATCAAACTGATTGCAATCAGTTTGTGAGATGAATGATGGACTGGGGAATTTGCAAAGATCGAAACTTGCCATTGATTTGCTTGGGGCAAAATATACATAGTTATTTATGCTTCTAGAAAGATGAAAAACTTTTGAGTAAAATAAGTATACAAAATTTTAAAAATTAGGTGGTTTTTTGAATTGTAAGGAGCGGATTCTGCAACAAAATTGCTCTCTTTGAGCTTTTTTTCTTCTTTTGTAAGGCTTAGGTACAATTCAGTGTACAAGAAAGTGAGTAAACAAAAGAAATGGCCAGGTGAAACAGGTGGAACAACTTAAAATTGTTCTGATCAGTTATTTGCCAGCGAATTTATTGTTTCTTGAGATTTTTCTGCTGGTGATTTCCTTTTCAATGAGATTTATTATGTGTTTTAGTCACTAAAACCCAAATTTGCATATTTTGCTGAGCTGATGTTGGAAGTTAAGTGGCAAATACTTCATAAAGTTGCCTCTCTTATGCTGAATCTTTTACAGTGCTAACTTAAGCTGTCGGTTAAAACGATCTGCCACGGAAATTTTAAACGCATTTTCTAAAACCGGGTTAAGAATAGAAAAAATGAAGAGAGCAATGTATCAAAAAACTATATTAAAATTAAATTGGTGGAGTTTTTTTTGCAAATTTTGTAACCAAAATTTAACTAAAAAGGGGTATTAATCAAAAAACAGTTTTAAATTTGCATGAATTATTGATTAAGTTTGAGAATTTGCTTAAAATTTGTGCAAATTTCTTAAAACTATTTTTAAGCAAGAACTGAGATTTATAATGTAAGACTGACGGTTTTGGCTATCAAGCAAAAACATATTCTCGAACACAAGCTTTTGAAGGCTACACTCTTCATCAGTCCTCCTTATGATGGGCCAAGTAAGAGGCTCTGGTTAAAATGATTTGCTCAAGAATTCACGTGAGAGTTCAAGCGTAATTCTTGACTACTAAAGAAAAAGCAAATTGACCTATTTTGGCTCCAAATTGTTGCTTGCACCACTTTAATTTTGATAAGTTTCTGAGCAGGCTTAAAAGTTTTGCCGAATAATAACCCATTTTTTGGGAAAAACTCATCCAAAGTTTCCAAAAGTGTTTGTTTTGTCTGAACAATTTAAATCAGCAATGTATGCAATTTTGTTCCGACCACGTCACAGCTATGATGATTGGATTTTTTGCACGATGTAAGAAGCACTAAAAAATCTGAGGGTTATTGAGTGCTAGATATGAATGCCCTGTTGATTGTTAGATTCCAAAAACAGTTTTCACGAACAAGTGTCTCAGTATTTAGAAAAGAGGTCTCATTTTTTGAACACTTAGCAAACTAAATCTATAAAATGTTGATTGTTTTCGAGGACTACACGATAAGGTTTAAAGGGTATTCTTTTGCTTTTTTCATACTATTTTTTGTGACTCAATATAATTTTTGAGTTGATTTTTTGTTTTTCAAAGATCGGTTTTGCTATGAGCAATTGCTAGAAACTTATCAGATAATTAATTTCAAACCGATGACAGCAACATTTTATTAACACGGAACTTTCAATACCAAACTTGTCAAAGTCGAATTATGAGAACCTATTGTGTCTTAAATCTCTTCCTTTATGTCTTATGCTGGGCTAATGACAACATTCACCCTGAGACCAGACTGCGAGAAGATTTATTGACATTTGATTGTCATCCGTTAAGTCGCCCTATTCGAAATCTAACCACTGTTACATTTGTGGAGTATATTGGGGGTATTTATCAACTTGTTGGCTTCAACTCAATAGATCAGTCGATAGAGCTGTTGATGTTTCAAACATTGCGCTGGCACAGTGAGTTCTTGAAATGGGATCCAGCAAATTATTCTGGAATTGAGAAGATCCGAATATTTCAAAATAACATTTGGAAGCCTGACATTCTTCTGTATAACGAAATAATTAATTTCGATTATGAGAAATTCTTCTTAATTGAGCCTCTAACTGTTAATTATTCCGGTGCTGTGAGTTGGTCTCAGCCAATTCACTTGGAAACTACATGCTCGATGGAAGTGACGAACTTTCCGTTTGATTCACAAACTTGTGAAATTGTGATGGGATCATGGCAGTACACATTGGCTGAATTAAGACTAGTTTGTGATGAGCTGGATTTGAGAAATTATATACCTGATAGTCTATGGGTCTTGCAAGGTATGATTGAATAAAAATTAATTTAGGGGGAGAGTGGCACAATGGATATCGATTAAGGAAATAATTTTGCCAAATTTTAGCTGGCTTCGACTCCAATGAGTTTTTGGCAAGAAGATGTAACAAAAGTTCGTTTTGTTTAAATAGTTTGTCTATATTTTGGTTATTTTTATCCAAGGTTTTTTTGTGCTTAGAGGCTTCGTGTCGAGAGCAGTTTATGGGAGCATTCAGTGCCGCAGTAATAACCCTGACCTTCAAACGACTTGAAACTTTCTTTGTGATCAATTTAATAATTCCCACTGTTTTACTCCTGGGAATCAGTTCCCTTACTTTCTTCATTCCGGGAGAAATTGGCGAGAAACTCAGCTATGGTGTAACTGTTACACTATCGCTTTGTGTCAACTTGACAATTTTCACAGATTTCATTCCAATGACGTCAAAAACATTTCCCAAGCTGTTCACATTCATTCTATCCAGCATTGTTCTGTCGTGCATATCAATGGTTTTGGCAACATTCTCTGTTAATTTTGATGAGATCAGCAGAAATAGCACAGATGAAAACAAAACTGCAGCGTTTGAATCACAATCTAGTGGTATGGCGTTGAATGAGCTTGCACATCGTGTTTGCCCAGACAAAACTAAGAAGATGACTCAGCTAAGAAAAGTTGACACAGTTATTGGGTTTATATACCTTATGGGAGTTACAATCTACTCTGTGATTTTTTTCATATCTATGAGTCTTTGAATGATCCATGATTGATGTTAACTATAAATATATTTTTTTCTTCACGGGTTGATGTGCACAAATTATATATCAACCGTATGCTTCGACCAAATATCTACTTCTCAACACAAGTTATACAAGTCAAGCAAAAACTGATCCAACATAAGAGTCGGCCAATGATCATGGTCGACCGGGTCAGATAAATAAGTGGGCTGTATATCAAGGGTTGCGAGGGGTCGATAAATGATTCGATCATGGTCGATACATGAGTTGAAGGGGGGTTGTTACTTTAATCAAGGGGAGAATATACTTCATTCAAATGTGTCGAGGGAAGTCGGAAAGTCAGGGTCGATCATAGTCAACACATGCGTCGAGGAGGGTTGATAAAAGAATCGACCAGGGTCGATAAATGAAGGGGGGATTATATGTGTCGAGGAAAGTCGGTACATGATTCAAGCAGGATCGATTATAGTCGTTTGGGTCAGGTTAACGAATTGACCAGAACTAATGCATGAACCAACTAGGATAGATCTAGATCAATTCGCTCAGATAAATGAGTCAACCCGGATCAATACATGAGTCGACCAGTATCGAAACATGAGTTTAAGAGGGTCGACACATGAGTCGAATGAGTGCGTCAGATAAATGAGTCGACACTAGTCGACACATGAGTCGAGGAGGGTTGATAAAAGAATCGATCAGAATCGATCAGGGTCGATCGGAGTCGATAAATGAGTCAAGAATGGCCGATACAAAAGTCGACCAGGGCTTCAGCATGAGCCGACAAGGGTCAGAAAAATCAATTGAACCGGGTCAATACATGGGCAAATGATAGTCGATACATGTGTAGAATTGGTTCAATATATAAATCTAACAGTGTTGCTTCATAAGTCAAAGGTGGTCGATACATGAGTCATAGAATTGAACGAAGATAAAACTCGAGAAAATTTTTTTTTATTCTAACTAAATCTACAGCTTGTAACCAAGTTTCAAGCAAGACTCTCAATCGCTCAAAATCCCTGAAACTGTTTTCAAAAATAAATGATTTTTTAATTACAAAAAAGTATTTAATCATTTAATTACAAAAAACTATGCATGGACAGGATAGTTTTGGTTTCTGTCAGCTCTCAATTTGCAATTAAACTTTTTGAGCAAATTAAAACTCGTACCTGAAAGTTGGAAATAGGTAAAAAATGTTGATCAATTTCCAATCTAATTCAAAATAAACCTTGGAAGACACTTGTTCACTTGCTCATTTTCTGTTCAAAGGAGTTTTTTGTGCAACTCAATTTTAAAACCAAAATATTGAGGAAACTTTGATTCAAAACTCTTTTTAACTTTTTTCCTAGTCATCTAAAAATGACCAAAACTAGAATTAGGGTAGGAAAATTAATACAGATTTTGAAAAAGTTGCATTGAATTGTTAATTTGATATTGAATCATCTTTCACCCAGGAAATTAAAAAAAAAAAGTATCAACGTTGGAAAAAACGTGGCCAAGATTTAATTGTTTTTATCCAGAACTGGTAAATTTATTTAAGCAGCCTGGAAACTATTGTTTGTCAGCCTACTCGCTTTCATCAGCCAGTGTATTTTCAGTTCATATCAAACTGTACATCAACGAGACCTCTCGAATCAGGGCAAAGCTTTGAAGGTTCAGACTGTCTTCTAAGGTCTGTGTTCTTTTTTTTAGAAATGATGAGTTTTTCGCAAAAAAAAAGAAAAAAACTTAAAAAAAACATTGACTTTCTTAAAACAATCGCCACGCCATACAAAAGACAAAGTGATAGACTTTGCTTCTATTAGCGTAGAAATTTTGACAAAAAGACCTCAGCCAACTTGGAACGATTTTTATGTGGGATTAAATTTCCGCATATGCGTTAATAGCACGAAATATATTGCTCTTTAATTGTCTCAAATTGGCACTATTGGACTTATTGTCCCAAACCATCACAACGTTATAAAAATGGATGATCATAATAAAATATCTTTTCAAATTTGAGCCCAAGACAACAATACCTTTTGGCTGATCTAAAAAAAAATCAGTCAAAAATTTCTTTTGTTAAAAGTCGAAACTTGTCTCAACTAAAAAACCACCCCAAGCACAAATTATGTATTACTTTTGTTAAGAAAGTCGGAACAATGATGTATTTTAAGACGCTCTTTGACTAGGTCTGAAAAATAATTGCTTGTCGGCAGAAGTTATCCCAAGATTTTATTTCAAATTGCTCATAGGAAATCATTTTTTCTAATGCTTGTAGCTTTATTTATTTACTTCAAAACTGTCCTTTTCTATTATCTTTTATTGCAAACGAACACCATTTTGCTATTAATTGAATCAATTTTCTCCCAATATTTTCTCCAAAAACTTTCCTTAAAAGTTTTCCGAATGAGAGAGAAGTGAAAATGAACGAACAAAAAAACCACAAGTTATGGCAGAGAAAACCTTATGGCTGAGCTCATGTCAAGTATAACATCAAAGATGCAACTTGCTATTTTGAATGTCAGGTTAACCTATAACAAAAAAAACAATTTAGCCAATATTGTTCCGAAACCATAATTGCATCCATTATCTTAATGCCTGATCATTTTCAAACAGATCTTTGTTGTTATTTTTGCTGTTTGAACTTCAATTAAAATATGCATTGAAAGGAATGTTTTAGTTTTTGTTCTAAATACTATCTTCTAATGTTTTTGAAGTAAAAAATAGGTGACAAATTTTATCATTACGTGAAAATAGGTGACATTTTACTTGCAACAAACTGAAATGAAACAACCTCTTGAACAGTACTTTTTGTTCCGACTTTCGCAACGAAAAACCGGAATATTCGTGCTCGGGGTGGTTTTTTTCTTCAGACAAATTTTGACTCATTTTAACCAGCAGTTTTTGACGAAAATTTTTTATGTCATTCAAAAAGTATTGTTGTCCTCAGCTTAAAATTGAAAAGATATTTTACCTGGGATCATTTTTCCTGAAGTTATGGGGGTTTAAAGATTGCAGTTTTGGCTAATTTGGGACAATGAACGCGCGATATATTTTGCGCTATTAACACGTGAGCGGAGATTTAATAAGTCCTTGAAATCGTTCTAAATTGATTGAAAGAAGCTCATTTGTCATAATTGATTTGTTACTAGGAGCGAAGTTTTTCACTTTGGCCTCTATATGGCGTGTGGGGGGATGATTCTAGCAATAAATCTCAATTTTTTTTTCGAAAAAATTTCCACTTTTTACGTTTAATTTTTTTATGCTATTACTGATCCCTAGACCTTAAATGGCTTTGCCCTGATACGAGCAGTCTTGTGTTTATTTAATTAACGATCGCGAAATTTGCAGAAAAAATGCTGCATTCGCTCATCGCAGATTCCGGCGACACAAATAATGTGCCGATAACTTTTATATTATCAATTTCGCTTGTGGATTTTGCAAAAGTTTTGTAAGTGTGTTGCGTTAACAATTTGACACTTGTTAAAATGCTTGTCTCTGTATTTAAAATTCCTGCACGCACAAAACCGTAAGCGTATCCTAAAAATAGTTTGGTCTTATAACCTTTTCGGAAAATGATTTAACATTCTGAAGTAAGATTTTTATCACTTGTACTTTTTATGGCGTTTGGGTGGATAATTTTCACAAAAAATCTCAAATAAAAAAAAACTTCATTTTTTTTACTACATTTATTTTATGTTATTACTGCTTCATAGACCTTTAAAGGCAATCGGAATATACAGGGCTTTGCCCTGATAAGAGCCGTCTTGCTTAGGCTAAGAAATCGTTCCAAATTGAATTGAGGCATCTTATTTATTTTATTCATTAAGTTGCTGTAGTTTAAATAGCGAAAGGGGGATGGACCCAAAGCGAAACTGTTTAAGCCAATCACTTTCACTTCGAGCAGTCGGAACATTCAGGTAGTTGACCTGGTACAAGTGGTCTTGTTTTAATACACGCTAAACTTATTATTTGAAGAATTAAATCTTCTTTATTTCAATAAACATCACTTTGTTTTCAACGAAATTCAATAATTCAAAGATATTACAGAACAAATAGAATATCTGCCCTGTTGAAGTTCCTTTCAAATTGAGCACTACTCCATAAATTTTAATTTGCAGTTAGGAAATTCAGGGCGACCCTCTGATACAAGCAGTTTTTTTTTAAAATTTTTGCTCAATTTATCAATTAGTACTTTTTTTCCTTTTTTGAAAGATTCGTCAATTTTCTTAAAGAATTATTCAAAGTTTCATAGACGCTACAAGACAGATAGAATATCTGCCCAGTGCAATTTTCTTTCAAAATGAGCACTGCTCGATAATTTTAAATTGCAGTCGGAGTCTTCAAGCCGAGGCCTTGATATGAGCAATCTTGTTTTAATTTTTTTTTTCACTTTTTTTTCAAAAATACATAACATAGGACAGAAAAATAAATAGAAAAATTTTCAAAATAAACCTTAACTGTTAATTACTTTTTCTTGAGAGCTGTTAGGCATCAAAACTTTTATGCTAGTCCCCTGAAATTTTCATTTAATTTATTATTTCCAAGATTTTTCATGTTATGACTGCTTCATAGACCATAAAAGGCAGTCAAAAATTTCAGGGCTTTGACTTGATTCGAGCAGTTTTGTCTCTTTTTGGAATAAACACTCATTCTGGTTTTAAAACGTCGCAGGTTTATATGCTGGAACGTCCAAACGCTATTTCAACATCAAATCTTGAGATCTTGTAAGGTTATTTTATCAATTGGTTCACAACTGCTGTAAAAATACTTCATGCGATACTGGTTTTCCTTAGATAAAACCGTATTTCATTCATTTGCTTGATTAATGCAGTTCATATTAATGCAGTTCATTTTTTTAATCAGTTCATATTTAATCCATTAGAGGGTTTACATTTAATTTACGTTCAAATTGTGGAAGTTAAATACAACAAGACTGCTCGCATCAGGATGAAGCCCTGAATGCTTTGACTGACTTTTGAGGTCTATGGAGCAGTAATAACATAAAAAAATTAATTGTAATAACGAAATGAATTTTT